ATGGATTACATTCAGTCCCGCAAAGCAGATTCTCCCACTGTTCTGCATTTGGGTTTAGAATGTTCAGATTTATAGGCTTCTGATGCTGTTGTTAAAAAAATAAAAATAGCTTTTTTTTCAATATTTTGGAATTCATATAAAATACTAGGTTATTCTATTTCTGTTCTGACGTTATGATCTAAACTTCCTTGTTTTCTCAGTTGACAAAATATTAGAAAAACTTCCCCTAATTGTACATTTTCTTTCTTTTCTCCTACGTGGTATGTCTCTACTGGTTAATATGTTTATACATAATTAGAATGACATTCATAATTTTTTAAAAAAGGTTTATCTCTCAATTTGATTGAAAAATTGTTCTTCAACTTTAGATGTATCTTTTAAGTTCCTGTCAATGTTAAACTATGAATTTCTAAGGGAATCTAAGACCCTGAAAGGAATTCATCAAAGTTTTATATAGCAATGTAGAAAAGACCCCAGATTTGGAAAGAATTTTACTATTACTGTCAGATCTATTTAAATTTAAATTAATTAAATTAATTTAAATTGTCTATTTTAAATTTATTATTATCAATCAGATCTATTTAAATTTGTTAATATTAGTGTTTTATGTTGTTGATAATGCATGTATGCATGCAATGACAGGTATGTAAAAGTGCTGGAATTCTCTCTCTCTCTCTCTCTCTCTCTCTCTCTCTCTCTCTCTCTCTCTTTCTCTCTCTCTGGGCATTGAACTCAAGTCATTTAGCTTGGCCTCAAGCTTTTGTGGCCACTGAGCCATCTTGCCCGCACCCATTTTGGCAATTTTTATAAGAAATCAAAGAGAATCACGGCATAAAGAAATGCTATTTTCTTCATTTGAAAATTTATTTATCTTGTAAAGAAAGCTATTTAAATACCACAATTGATTTCTAACATTGGTTTCTTAGTTCATTTTGCTTGCTACATATGAAATCACTGTGGCTTTGTCATCCAAATGTTTCTAATGTTTAACAATCATTGATTTCTCTAAACTATAAATTGGTAGGAATGCTCAACAAGGTCCAGAAAGAATAGGCAAAATGGTACATTAAAAAGTACTTTGTCTATCGTTGAATTAATAATTAATCAACAAATCCTGTTGTGGGTTACTTCCCGACTCAATGGTTTATGTTCCTGAATGAAAGACAGACACACAACCTTTATATCTTAATATACTCTATGCAGCACAATCACTAGGCAACTGCCTAACCTCCATGTTTCTAGAATCTACCCTCCACCGATAACTCCGAGTTACTACTTATGAACTTCTATGTTCCATTTTGGCTTCTCCAGATCCATTTGTGCAGCCCTCTGGGCTGTGCTTTCTTGGCCCAGAGCCCAGGGCACTCTCCTCGCTTTCTTAATCCATGACGACTTCTGTGTCTCTTCTCTGTCCACAGTCACCTATGCTCTCTCTCCTTCCTCTCCTCCTGGTCCCAAGCCCTGGAACTCCTAAAATTCTGCCTCTGTCTGTCCTCCCCAGCCATTGGCTACTGACATCTTTATTTACCAATAAGAACCAACTGGGGGCAGGTTCCCAGAAGCTATGTGCAGACCCTCTCATACAAACAGGGTTTTTTGTGGTGTGTGTGTGCATAATTAGCATTTGTAACACAAGCAGCTACAGTCTGTCTATGTTATTTGGTTTGAGTTTTATTCCTGTGAAAATATAGCCTAGTTCTGATGTGTGAGTTTAGTTTGGGAACCAAAATGCACTGGTCCCCGTACTTCAGCCTCACGGATGCTAATATGCTGTGGTTCCTAGGCTTCTGAAATATCCTACTGTCAGAAAAGAGACTTGGCACTGTATCTCAAGAATTACCTAAGTACTTGTGTATTTAAATGCTTAAAAAATACATTAACAAAATATCACTAAATGTTTTAGTAAAATATTCTTAGCCAAAGAGAGGGCTTCATGTGAGTTGCTCACTTCTTGGGGGCCAGGATTGGATTGTCATCAGGATAGCTCAAAGAAACTCTTAAAAAAAAAACACCTGTTATTTAGGCTGTACTTCAAGCCAGTGAGAGCAGTGGCCTGGGCTGGCACGCAGGTATCAGTACTTTTGAAAGATGCTTAGGGATTCCAATGTGCAGCTGGGGTAAGAGTCTTCTCTTAGGTTTGTTGGTGTATTTGGAATATCACAGTGTCCCATTTGTTAGAGAGTCAGAATATGTAAGGTTTGGGGTAGGAAAGTGTAGTGGGTATGGCTCTCATAGGAGAGTTTCATGTTGGAAGCTGGCCTCTATCCATGCTGGACTTGCCAACGTCAACAAATGCTCTGCCCTGCATTGAAATTTCACCCCAGCTTTCCCATAAGTTTGACACTTAATTGCTTTATAGTTATGTTTTAAAGGTATTTTCCTACAACACATGAAGAGCTAATAAATTCAGATATCCATTTTGATTCAAGTGGTCATGCGATAGACTGTTAGTTTGATGTGGACTAAAGACTTGTCACCAAGAAATTCGGGATTATGTGAAGGTGAGAGTTGCTGGGTTAGTATTGTAAGGAAGAGCTTGCTACGGAAGTCATAGCACAAGCTCTTCCGGGGCACCGTTAGGGGCTACTTAAGAAAAGAAGCTGTTTTGACGGTTTATATGGACAGGTGTGCTCACCATGGGTGAGTCCCACACATTCAGGAGGCAGATCTTGAGGCAGAGATAGCCTGGGGGCAGGGGGAAAGAGAAAGAGACAGAGAGAGAGACAGAGAGAGAGAGAGAGAGAGAGACAGAGAGAGAGAGAGAGAGAGAGAGAGAGAGAGAGAGAGAGAGTTGGTATTTCAGGTACATGGTACCATTCCCAGTCTTGTACATGGTCGCAAGGATCCAAACTCAGGTAGTCACACTTGGCAGCAAGCACAGCAAACATTTTACCCTCTGAGCCATCTCCCCAGCTCCAACCCTTCACGTTCTTTATGAGAATTCATGCTGTAAATTTTTATAGCAGCTAGTTTCCCTATCTATCTATCTATCTATCTATCTATTATCTATCATCTATCTATCATCTATCTATCATCTATCTATCTATCTATCTATCATCTATCTATCTATCATCTATCTATCTATCTATCATCTATCTATCTATCTATCATCTATCTATCATCTATCTATCTATCTATTATCTATCATCTATCTATCATCTATCTATCATCTATCTATCTATCATCTATCTATCTATCATCTATCTATCTATCTATCTATCTATCTATCTATCTATCTATCATCTACCTACCTACCTATGGCAGATTCTAATTATGTAGCCAAGACTAGCTTTAGACTCCCAATCCTTGTGCCTCAGTCTCCCAAGTGCTTAGAAGGTAGGTGTGCACCACCCTGTCTAGAGTGCCAGCTCCATGTTTCCATGTCTCCGTCTACAAATCGCTGGGTACTTGTCATAGGAGCAAATGAGTTGACCTCATGTTGTTATATTCTCTCGCCGTTGTAAGGCTCCATATGAACTTGAAAGACGGCGGTCTGGGTTTAGAGCTTTTTTAAAGTAGAACAGCAGCAGAGTCTTCTGTTAGTGTTTGGCCATCTCAGTAACACTAGAGCACTTGTGTTTGGCTGATGTTCTCTTCATGCTTGGCATTCGTCTGAAGTCCAATATTTCTTTTGGAAAGAAAAATAAATTCTTTCCCTGACATTTTTTTTCCATTAAGTTAAAAGTTGTCACTTCATAAATGAGATTTCAAACATCTGGATTTTAATATTTGCACCGTATAGGATGAGAGAGTTCAGCTCTAGCCACATCTGTACCATGGAACCTGATCACATTCAGCACCCAGACTTTCTGCCTTAGGTGCTGTGGCCAACTAAAAGCTTGTGGAATGAATGCACTTGGACTCCGTTCCCTGTTATTTTACACACTGTCAGGGGCTGAGTGTTTTTTTTTTTTTTTCGATATCCTCCTCTCAGATTGTGACCAAATAGAAAAATTATAGTGCCCCTCTCATAAAGACTTACAAAAATTCTTTGATTTTCATTCTTTATGACAGGTAATATTTTTCTCTCAGATTGTAGCTGTCCCCTCAGACGGTCTCAGCTAGTGAAACTCTATTTGTGATTAGCAGAGCTGGAAAGACATTGTTGGGCTAAGCACAGGCTTTTATTTGGAATTTTGTTTTAACAGGAAGTTGGAGTTGAAATGACTTGACACTTGATCCAGGTCTACTGCTCTTATTTGAGACAGGAAGAGGCCTTGGCAGCTGAGGTGGCTGTGATAGTTGCCATCACTGGGAACCTGTGGCTCCTCCTGAAGCTCCTTCTATTGGCCATTTACCTTTGTGGCTCCTCTTAGTTTCTGTGTACACCTAAGAGTCCAAGGTGACATCCATGAGTGTTTGTACAACTGATTATATTTTGTTGTATAATCTCTCTTTTACTTGCTTAAATCTCTTTGAATTAAAAATCTCCTCTAATTGCTTAAAACTGTTTAAGTTGGAAGTTTTACTTTAAAGTCCTGTTTTGGTGAATTTCATTTCCCCAAGTATAGATTTGTACAGCTTGGATATCCTGTGTTCAGTACAACCAACAGGGATGTGGGGGGTGGGCTCTATACAATTTTATAATCTGTCAGTGTGGCGTTCCATACCCATGCTGCTTAGTTAGTAGAGCACCATGGTTTTTCCTGACTTACATTATAAAATATAGATTTTATCATATATGTGCTGGTAGAGTGTGGGAAGCTGTCAAGGTTGGTTTGAAGCAGAATGACTTGTAGGGCAAGAAATGGGAGGAAGAGAGCAACTGTGTGCTCATTTGCGGGTAGTGCTGTACCACAGGCAGGCCATGTTGAGACGTAAGGCCAGCCTCATCTAGATGGCCCTTCTGAGTCTAGTTTCCTGGGACCTCTAAATAATCTCAGTTCTCAAATCACCATGGCATTCACCTGGGGGTGGGGGGTCAGCAATGGCGGCAACACCCTGTAAGCACCGAGCGAGCGAGCACTGACTGCCTCCTGCTTTGTCTTGTGCTTTTCCAGAGTGCAAATTCACCTGCACCAGCGGTAAATGCTTGTATCTTGGTTCTCTGGTCTGTAACCAACAGAACGACTGTGGGGACAACAGTGACGAAGAGAACTGTCTCCTGGTGACTGAGCATCCACCACCAGGCATCTTCAACTGTAAGTCCCTCTGACTCACCCTTGTGGCATTGTGTCTGATGGTGTTCCGAAGCCAACGGGAAGGAGACATGTCATGCATTCTGGTTAAGGAAAGAGGCATGTATTTTCACCAAGATTTGCTTTTAGGATGGAGGATAGCAGGTGTGAGAAGGAGAACTCAGTGTCTTCTTGCAGCACCAGAGCCTTGTAGCAGGTTTGTAGCAGGTCTGTGTTTGTTAGAAGCCCAAGTTTATTCCAAGAAGCCATACAGCTGTGTTCTTCACACAGCTGTAAAGACCTTTCTGAATTTATATGTTCAGAAATAATTTGAAATAAGTGAAGACAGGTCCATAATTATACACAAAAATAGAAATATTTATGTGCAACTTTCAAAGGTTCTAGTCATACATTTTGCTATTAAATACCAAATGAAAATAAAACATGTGTCAGGTGTTTCTAAGCAGGATTCCCCAGATCAGAAGCTGGGAACACTGTCTTGAACTTGAAAAATGTGAGATCAGAAGTCTGAAATCCATTGGTTTTGGATCCCAAGATGATTATGACAAGGGGAGAGGACAGATGCAGTTAGAAACTACTCAGTCCTGTTAGAAAGGGTAGCGAATTGTTATCTGTTTTTCCGTGAACCAAATCAAATGGGTTGAGGGGGTGAGACTCTTCCTATCGGCCTACCTAGGGAGAATGGTTGCATGCTGTCCTTGCTATGTTCAGACTTCCCCAAGCGATTCCCCAAGACCCAGGTTGGCATTCGAAGCTTGGTCTCCAGCCCACGCAGGATACTGTTGTAAGTGGTAAACTTACAGACTTGGAGCCTCGTTAGGGGCATTCTGCCATTCTTAAGGAGATGTTGCAACCCTGGCTCCTCTGCATTTTTTCTTGGCTTCTTTTATTGTTATTGTTTTGAGATAGGTTTCTACTATGTAGCCCAGGCTGGCCTCAAACTCACAGCAGTCCTCTTGCCTCAGGATCCCATGTGTCTAGCTTGCAGATATGAGCTAGCATGCCCAGCTTCCTTGACTTTCTTGCTGCCATGATGTGAGCACTTCTGGCCTTCAGTTTTGCTCTCCAACATGGTGTCTGCCTTGGCATAGCCCCAAAGGCAATGGGGCCAGGTGCCCATGGATTTAAACCTCTGAAAACTGAGCTGAAATAAACCTGCCATTTGGGTTGTTCATTCCAAAGTACTTGTTATGGTGATGTGAGGCTAAGAGCTATAATCCTCAGTTAGGGGACCCCCATTTCATGATACACTCGGCCTCTCTTCATAACTGTACTGGTATCATTTGGAGGTATTATGTTTGGCAGAAATTAACTTTGGGGAGCTGGGGAGATGCCTCCAGAGGTTGACAACACTTGCTCTTGTGGAGGACCTGCTCTTCCCAGCATCCATGGCAGATCACAATTATCTTTAATTCCAGCTTCAGGGGTTCTGATATCCTCTTCTGACTTCTGTGGACCCCAGGCATGTATGCAGTATGCACACAGACAGCCAAAACAGCCATGCACATAAAATAAGTCTTTCTTAAATTAAAATCTTGTGTGGGAATTAGACGGCAAAACACAATTACTGTAAATTTGGAGAGGGTTTAAGAAAACAAAATCCATGTGTATTTTTTCTCTATCCCTACGGCATTATAATACTTTAAGAGAAAACTATCTATGGCCCTAATGTAAAAATAGCTCTGCTCTGGTGAGTTTTAAGCCCGATGTTTGTGCTTGCCAAATCCAGGAGCCTTGGTGTTTGTCTTCTCAACATTTTTTTTGTTTGTATTATCATTTAGAACTTTATTTCAGTTTTAAAGCACAATAATTACTTACAAACGCTTATCTATACAGGCACGTGCAGAAGGTCCAAGGTTGATACTGACTGTCTTCTTCAATTGCTTCTCCAACTCATATTTTTTCACAGTGCCTTTCCCTGGACCTCGAGGCTGCCATGTTGGTTATGTTAGCTGGTTAGTGAGCCCCTGAGTTCTGCTTATCTCCACCCCTGACCACAACACTGGGGTTACAGATGTGAACAGTCACATCTGGCTTTTATGTGGATGCTGGGAATCCCAAATCAGGTCCTACTTGTGCAGTACACCCCTGACCCACTGAGCCACAGCTCTAGCTCCCGAGTTTCTTTATATCAACTGCTTTTCATGTTCTGTCTTTATATGCTGAGAAGACACTTCTTAAAGGTTAGGGTGGGCTCTGTACTTCCCTTAGCACTGGACTCTGGTTTTCCTTATTATGTTTGTTTGGTAGTATTTGTATGATGCAGCTGGCTGTATGGAGTTGTCTGGCCTGTCCAGCCTCTCTTCTCTTTATGGATAGTCTGATACATTTGTCAGCTGACAAAGGGAGGAGGACACAGGGCAGAGGATACTAGAGGGAACAAGGAATTGGGAACTGGGTGGGGACTATCCCCTGAAACAGGCACATGCCAGAAGACTAAGAGCACCAAGAACCTTCTTCTTTGCCTTTTACGTGAACCTGGAAAAGTATTTTTGAGTCCCAAATCTAAACCATAAAATCATAAATAATAATTCTTCTTCTTCTTCTTCTTCTTCTTCTTCTTCTTCTTCTTCTTCTTCTTCTTCTT